GAGCTCCTTGAGACTAGAGGCCATCCTACTTTTCTATTTGTATCCCCAGTGCTTATCACAGGGCTTTGAATATGTCAACTACTTAATAAATGCTTTACCCATTCATTAAAGTAATTAAGCTTCCCTGGGACTCAGTTTCCTCATCTATAGGAGTTGGCTTCTGAGGTCCCTTCCTGCCCTATATCTATGATCCTATGATCTCATTTGGTCTTTACACCAACTCTGTGAGGTAAGTACTACTGATGTCATTTTCCCAATTTTAAGGATGAGGGACTTGAGGCTGAGAGGAGTGAAATGACCCACCCTATTGTGAGAGATCTGAAGAGGAAAAGGTAGACAGAGCCTGGAGGGATCAGAGGCAGTTTCCTTGTGGAAGTGATATTTTCCTATTGGTTGAGTTCTTCCTGGAGCCTCCATTTTGGAGAATGGTCCAGAACAGCCATCCTTTATAATCCGTATTTCGCCACCATGCCTAGGAGCAAGTACTCTCCTTTCTCCCACCCCACCCCCAACACTTTTCGATTCCCTTTTCTGTCTTGCCTTCCATTTGAATATAAACTCCTTGAGAGCAGGAACTATCTTTCTTTTTGCTTGTATTTGTATCCCAAGTGTTTAGCATAGTGCTAGGCACATAGTAAGCACTTAATAAATATTTGTTGAAGATCTTTGAGTTGGGCTGAGGGAGTGCACCACTGGCCATAGTGAACTGCATGGGAAATGGGGAGTTTTGGCCAAAGCATGGAGTATGCAGAGGGAAATATTTTGAGATAAGGCTGGAAATGCACAGCTCTGGGCTAAGTGCTATGTGCTGACTGTGTCTTGTCTTTCCTGTTAACTGGCCAGCAACTTGAGGTCAAGGATAGTGGCTGCTCTGTAGTGGCTAATTCTAAGTGCCAAGTCTAAAGCTATGCTCCCTGTGATCACTCAGCAAATACAGCAAAATCCTGTTTTTATGGAATCAATCAGAAACAAAGTCATTCCAAAAGCTCAAAAAAAAAATTATTTTCTTCCCAAAAGACAAAAGTTGGTCATTTTCTGTAAGAATTTTGTTTTTGAAATTCTATCTTGTTTAGAAGATAAGAGATAAATAATGAGGCATGATATTTCCTTTTTGTCTACTGGAATATATCCTAAATCCCATACAAAGAGCAAAAAAAAAAATCATTAATCTAAAAGGGACCTTAAAGAACATGTAATCTAACATTTCATTTTACCGGTAGACACTGTGGCCCAGAGATAGGCAGTGACTTACCCAAAGTCACACAACATGATCAGAGGCAGAGCCAGGACCAGAACCTAGTTTTTTTTTTTTTGTTTTGTTTGTTTGATGGTTTTTTTGTTTGTTTGTTTTGGGGTGGGGGAGGTAATGGGGCTTAAGTGACTTGCCCAGGGTCACACAGCTAGTAAGTGTCTTAGGCCACATTTGAATTCAGGTCCTCCTGACTCTAGGCCCAGTGCTTTATCTACTGTACCACCTAGCTGCCCCCTAGAACCTGGTTTTCTTGACTCCCAATCAAGTGACCTGTCTTCTATTCTGCATTTCTGACACATAAAAACCGAATTCAAGACCTTGGCTCAATGTTTTCATTTTGTAACCTGTCACCCCCATAAAACAACAACAGTCACCACACAGTCATATACATGTAACATTGCGTACCCTGGCCCCCTGCTGCCTAAAGGCCAGCAATATTGCCTTTCAACCATCCTCCAGGGTTCTCCAGGACCCTTAATGGGGTTTGAGAGATGTTCAGGCTCTCTACCAATTACTTCAGACGCAACTGATGGTGTTTCCCCAAGTGTAAGGGGCAGTCCCTTGCACTTAAGGTCTATTTAACCACCAATAGTCAGATTAGCTTTTGCAAAGGAACATTTACTTCAAATTAGCTGTCATCATCATCACTTACCATGTGCTAGGCACTTTACAATTATTATCACATTTGATCCTCCCAACAACCCTGGAAGGTAGGTGCTATTATTGTCCCCATTTTACAATTGAGGAAACTGAGGCAGGCATTGGTTAACTGACTTGCCCATGGTCACATAGATAATAATTAGTGTCCGTAGCTCAGCCCAGTTTCTATATAGCACAGTCCCAAGTTCCAAGTCCAAAGCCCTTCTTGGGCTCCCATCCCAGGCACTCTGACTTTTCAGAGCTTCCCTGCGGGGTTGACTGAATGCAGCATTCTGTGTGGAATCCTGGCTCCATGATCACCATGGCCTGAGCTCCCTGGTCTGGTAAGGATTGCTGAATGCCCCTGGAAACTGAGAAGTACAAATAATACAGGAGAGAAACAACTACAAGTCCAATTTCTGCGAGCCAGAGAGTAAAAATAAAGAGGGCAAAGAAGGCATCCACCTGTCCAGGTTTGGTTCATGGCATTTGTGCTGTGGGTGAACTATGTGTGATCTTTACCCCCAACCCAACCCAAAAAGAGTACACAGGCAAAAAGAGAGACTGTCCCCATTTGGCAGCTTAAAAGACACAACATGTTCTGGTTGTTGTTTAGTTGTTTTAATCATGTCCAACTCTTTGTGACCATATTTGGTGTTTCCTTGGAAAGATACTGGTTTGTCATTTCCTTCTCCAGCTTATTTTATAGATGAGGAAACTGAGACAAACAGGTTTAAGTGACTTGCCCAGGGTTACACAGCTAGAAAGTGTATGAGACCAGATTAGACTCAAGACTTTCTGACTCCAAGCCCAGTGCTGTATCTATTGAACCATCTAGCTGCCCTTTTCTGCCCATTTCTAGTTATAAAACCAATCAAAGGAAGCTACTCCCTCCTGTGTAGCAGGAGAATACAAGGAAGCAGCCTCCCTATCAGGCAATCTGGGTATATTCCAAGGTCCCCATTAAATATAAATGGGATTTCATGATGCTTGTTGGTTGTCTGAATGACTATGTGTTGACTTACACAGGAGTCTACTTAGAGAGAGGACCTTATCATATAAAGAATATGTAGAACTCTTGTCAGAGAAGCACAGAAACCTAGAGTTGGAAGAGCCTTCAGAAGTCAGCTAGCTCAATCCAGACTTGAGCAAGAATTCCCACTACAACAGCCTTGAGAAGTGGTCATCCAAGCTCCACTTGAAGACCTCCAGTAACAAAGAACTTACTAGTCCCCAACAGAGCATTCACTTTTCCCTTTTATCCAGGAAGATGATAGCCAAATATCCTTCCAAGCACAAAAGGGGGAGATTTTCTGGATAGTCTAGAACAGCTAAAGATGCTTCTGAAAATATCTCAATATAGTGGTTTCCAAGCCCTTGAGATGTACACCATGTTAGTCTTTAAATACAGTTTTGTGATTCCTTCCCTTGCTCCTAAAAGCTTTGGGTTAAATATTTTTTTCATAATTTAGAAATAATTAAAATTAACTTTATTTTGAGTGTTTCAGAACATCTCTTTGATATAACTGGAGGGCAAGACTGGGAAACAGTTCCCCCTGTGACTGGTTTTAGTCATTGAAGCAGGGTTGGCAACCTAAAGCATACGTGCTAGAGATGGCATTCATTCATTCATTCATTCATTTAACAAACACCTATTGCATGACTAACGTACTATTACTGGGCTATGTACTGAAGGGGATACAAAGATGAACAAGACATGGTCCTTCCCTCAAAGGGCTTACTGTTTTAAAGTGAACGTTGATTTTTCTTGTGTCCTATGAACCAATTGCCATAACATGTTACCACTGTCTACTATTGTTGAAAGTCACTAATGACCACCCACCACAGTGAATTTTGGCAACAGGCACGGTCACAGTCTCTGCTCCTTGCCCTCAATCTAAAGCACACAGAAGGAAAGAAATCAGAACCATGGACACATGACTTTCTAAAAGATTGCCAACACCTACAATAGAGTGACTGGTTAAACCATAGTGACTTTCTTAGCTGGAGAGCACAGCTCTAGAAATTCTAAGCAGACATGGTGATTGATTCCTACCCCAATGCTAGTCCTTAGGTATGTGGATACAACATGATCCTGAATTTATATATAGGAACAATGCTATTTCCTATCTTACCCTGCTGTGTAAATCTTATTCCCTCTCCTTCTGTCTCAGGATGGTCAAAGGCTAGCAAATGTAACTTAGTCATTACTGCTATTTTGCCAATTGTGATCAATTCAATTATGTTTAAAAGTTGAGTGGCAACATGATAACTTAAACCTATAACAGACAACAGAAAGAGTGCTGGGACTGGAGTTCAAGGATCTGAGTTCAAACCCTCATCACTAATTGTGTAACTTTGGAAATCAGCTAACCTTTCTGGGACTCAGTTTGTTCAGCTGTAAAACTAGAGTACAAGATTAGATGATCCTTAAGGTCTTTTCCATCTCAAAATTTATGATGCCTTGAAAAGCAATTTAAAACTGTAGATCACAATACTCACTAGTGAATATTGATGCCAAGCAATTATAAATAAAATCTATGCAAGAAAACTCCAGAACTATATCCCCAAAGTAATTCACTATGACCAAGTTAGTATGAATATCATGGATGAAAGGATGGTTTAATAATAAAAAAAACAAACATAAATAATCATATAAATAACAGACATTAAAATAAAACACATGGTTATTTCAAAAGATGAGGGGAAAAACCCGTTTGACAAAATAGTCATTTATGTTAACAACCCTAAAAAGCATCATAGGCCCTTCTTTAATGTGATCAAAAACATATATTTTAAACCAAGAGCTAGTATTGTTCACAACAGACAAACATAAGGTTCCCCAGCGTAAACATGGCTGCTACATACAGTGGTTAGAGGGCTGGACTTGGAGTCAGTTTCCTCCATAATAATGGCATCCACTTTCCAGGATTATTGGGAAGATGAAGCGTGATAAAATGTGTAAAGCACTTTGGAAACCTTAAAATGCTATATAAATGTTAGTTATTATCATTGTTATAATGTAAGTGAAGAAGTCGTTAAAAAGAAGTTGAACTCTGAGTAATAGAAAAATCAGTGAAGGTCCTTGAGAAGAGATCATGAAACATACCTTGGGTACAGGTAGAGTAGGTGAGGTGCAGGTAGGACAAAGTAGTATCTACATTATCAGGTTTGTGTCTCCGGATATTTTTGCTTAATTATTCTTTGTGACACAAGACAGATCCATCTGGAGGGGGATAAGAAATGATTGACTTGAGTCATTTGGACTATTTCATTCTTTGTCTTTGTGTCCTCAGTGCCTAGCACAGTGCCTGGTATATGGTAGATGCTTAAAAAATGTTCAAGGGCAGCTAAGTGGTGCAGTGGATAGAGCTCTGGCCTTGGAATCAGGAGGACCTAAGTTCAAATCTGGCTTCAGATACTTAACACTTATTAGCTGTGTGATTCTGGGCAAGACACTTAACCCCAATTGCCTCACCAAAAAGCAAAAAAAAAAAAAAAAAGCTCATTAATTGATTGACATAAAGAAAAAAAGGCATCAATAAAACCTATTTTTAAGCAGAAAAGCAATTTGGTCATACCTTTAACCAGTGGGAAACTGTAATGGCAAATTCAGAACAATTTCAAGGACTTTTTTAGTGCTACTACAGTGATCTCCCACCCTTCCCCAAACCCCACTTTTGCTTCCCACCCCCTCCAAACCCTGCTTTTGCTTCCCACCCCCACCCCCCATCCTCCCCATTCCCCATCTGAGCCAATCAGAATCTGGGTCAAACCACAAAGTAAACCTGGAGGTCTGGTTCATTGCTTCCTAGGGGATATCAACTTCAGGCTGTTGGCTCACAGATTGTTAGTGCATTTCTAGACCAATCACTTTATTGTTTCAGGCTATCATGTTATTATTTGTTCTCCACCCTTTCTTCCTGTCTCCTTCCCTGTCTTTTTTTTCCTTCTTCTTCCTGTAAATGGGGACCCTATCTTAGGAACATTAATTAGCTATCCTGTTGTTTTATCAGAATTCTAGGGATAAGAATGAATCATAGTGAGACAATTCAAGCACAGTGTTTACTATCTTTGACCGGGCAGATAGGGTCCCTTTGCATGTTTGTTACTTTGTCTGCCCTGTGGTGTGGATTTGCTTCCATCTGTAACCATTCTGAAAAAAAAAAAATAAACATCTGCTCCATTTGTTCCTAAGACTTTATTATAGCAATGAAACTCGTTGAGGCAAGATGGGGGGGGGCTTTCATCTGTGAGAGGTAATTCCTAGTGTGAAAACTCCCCCCATGGATGCAAATTGGCAGTTGATCAGTAATTTTTAGAGTTGCCTCAGGCCACTGGTCATCTATCCATTGTGCCATATATGAGGTAGAAGATATAAAAAGTTGTTATCTTTAAATTAACGATTTAGGAAGAGAGTCTTTATAGTACTGGCTTTAGGACTGAGGACCAAGACTTTGTCTTAGAGGTTGTATTCTCCCTGGCTTTTGCTTTACACATTTGTTAAGTTTAGGAATCAGAGGGAGGAGGAAGGGCAGAATTTTTTCTACAGCAAGATTGTGTGGTGGCTAGAAAGCTGGGCCTGGAGTTAGGAAGACCCGAGTTCAAATCCAGTATCAAACATTAACTGTGTGACTGTGAGCAAGTCATTTAAACTCTGCTTCATAATAATAACAGCCTCTGTCTCACAGGATTGTTTCAAGGAGTATTTATAAAACAACTATTACCTCGCCTGGTGCATAGTAGATGTGTAATAAATGCTTATTCCCCTACCCCAAATCCAGTTAATAATGAGCTATGCTAGCCTCATTCTCTCCCTATATAAATCAGCCATGTAAATTTCAAACCAGAGTCTGAAATGAATTCAAGTCCAAATAAATCAAGCTCTAAATAGGTCATAATTTAATTAAAAATTGAAAAATATGACTCATGGCACTTAAGTTTACTAATGCTTACTGCCAAAAGATGCATCATCTCAATGACAGTGGTAAATTCCTTTTGGGGCGTCTGCAAGATTGGAATAGGTATAGAAATTAACATGTGCATTCAAAGAGTTTCCCGTAATTGCTGAGATTAATACCTTCAGGACAGTGATGGGGATCTCTAAACACATCAACAGAAAAACAGGCAGACAGAATCTTTGGTCATATCTGCCTTCACTTTTCATCTATTGAAAGGGTGACATTTCCTTTATTCTCTTGTTGCCGATTTATTTTATTGGTTAAATGCCCTCTTTTGCTCCCTCTCCCTTCATTCTTTAGCTCTTTAGCTCTCATTCTTACAAGCCATTTGTTTATTCTCATGCATTTTGGATAAATTTGTTCAAGCTTCCCAAGGTTATGAGATCTTCACCCAACACTCAGAAGTCCTTTACTTAACCAATTGGGTGCCTTTCTCTGTCCCCCACTTAAAATGAGGGCATGGCTTTTGTTGAATCTTAAAATGGTTGAAGTAATGCACCCCTATTAAATTATTATTAGCTAATTAATAATAAAAATAATAAATTAATAAAAGTAAAACCGTTATTTCTATAAGTCTTTAAAGTCTTTAGAATATTTTACATAAACTATCTCATTTGATTAATAAAACAACTCTGGACTTTCACCTCACCCAACACATTGGCAAAGAGGACAAAAGATAAAGATATTTAGCAGAAAGCCAGGAATACAAATACACTGCTGGTGGAACTGCAAATTGGTCAAATTATCTTAGAAGTCAATTTGGAATTACCCTAAAAATGTAACTAAAACGTCCATACCACAGATATTCCCACTGCTAGGCTTACATCTCAAATAGGTCAAAGAGAAAAAGGAACGCTCCCAATTATACCAAATATTCAAAATAATACTTTTTGTGGAAATGAAGTATGGGGGCAGGGTGTAGGTGCCTATCTCTTGGGGAATATCTAAACAAGTTGTGGAACATGAATATAATGCAGTATTACTGTGCATAGTGCTTGGCATGTGGTGGTGCTTAAGAAATGTTTATTTCCTTCCTTCTTTCCTATAAGAAACAACAAATATTGAGAATTCAGAGGAACATGGTAGACTTTCATGAACTGATGCAGAGTAAGGTGAGCAGAACCAATGACTACAATAATGTCAATGGAAAGGTGTTTTGTTTTTTTTTTAATGTAACTGAAGACTTTGTAATTATGTAATAACCAAGCTTGGCCTTGGTGAAGAGTGGGAGGGGGAGGGGGAGGGGGAAATGAACCCTGCTTACCTCTTTGTAGAAGTGAGGGAACATTGTGGGGAAATAGCCTGTCACATATGGTTGCCCTTTTTGTTTGGTTTTGTTAACTTTTTTCTCTTTCCTTTTTAATCTTTGTTATAATAGGTGACTTATTGAGGAGGTGAAGGGTAGAATGTATTTAAAAATTGAAGTGATGTGAACACAAAAGATATGAATGGATGAGCAGAAACGCATTTATTCATCTCATTTGAGCCTCACAACCTTGTGGCTCTAGACCTCAAAACTTTGATCTCACGTATACGAAGTCCAATCTTGGGGACCGACCTCAAAATTCACTCGCTCTTTGTCTCCTATCACCCCCATCCAGAGCTTATTCCAGAAAATCTCAGAATATAGCTTGAGTCTAAGTAACAAGGTCCCTAGCTCCTCAAGTGATCATATAAGCACTTACAGTAACAAATGCATTTACCAGGTATAGGACAGTCTTTTCTTCATTCTACAGATAACTCAGAAAAGGTAAAGGACCAATAGGAACCTATAAAAGGAAGCTAGGTGGTTCAGTGGGTAGAGCACTGGGCCTGAAGTCAGGAGAACCAGAGTTTAAATCTGGCCTCAGACACCTACCAGCTACATGACCTTGGCAAGTCACTTAACCTTACCTTAATCCACAGGAGAAGAAATGGCAAACTGCTCCAGTATCTTTGCCAAGAAAACCCCATGGACAGTATGGTCCATGGGGTCACAAAGAGACAGGGCACAACAACAACAACATAAAAAGAATGGAGAAAACACCTAAAAGACTTAGAATAACTTATCAGCAATCAACATAATTCTCTTCCCTTCTCAGTGGGTCCAGGGGCATGCCGAAAATTATTTGACAACCAGCTAAGGGAGTAGGAGAGGATGCACCTCTCCACACACTTATAATTTAATTTGCATTATTAACATTTTCTAGACAATCAACAAAACAATAAATCAAGCCCTGATTTGCAGGGTTTGCCTATTTCTAAGGTGCAAATGCTCACACTGAAGATTCAACATTTGACTCTCCTAAGTCAGTTGGAGCAGGTCCCAGCACACTCCCCAGTAGATACCAATTTTCCACAAGCACCAGCGAGTTGTTTAGATTCCCTTTGTTAGGAACCTGAACTTAAGGTTGCCAGTGAGGCATTCATTTGGCATTCCAGTGAGTCCCTCTTTCCCACAGGGCTACATGTAGTTACCCCCAACCTCATAGCATCACTCTGTGGTTTGGATTCCCTTCAGAAAGGAAACAGACTTTGGGGCTGCTATACAGGCTATACCCTAAGATTTGGTGAGTTCCTTTCTCACTTCACAGTGATCTTCTGAAGGCTTGGATTCACCTGGAAGGGAAATACGTTTAACTGCCAGCTGGGCAATTTATTCCCTTTCTACTGAATTTGTACTATCCAACTAACTGACTGTAAATATATAAGAAAATGTAGAGTGCATGTCTCTTGCTCCTTCAGATTATGGCTTCTGATTCCTTGTTGCTGCTTTGCCCAGAGGCAGGAGCCATGGGAATAGTCCTCTTCCCTTTCCTTGAGGCATATTTCTCAGGAAATTTTCATTTTCTGGATAGAAGACCAGATCCTCAAATTTGAAAACTTGGGGATTACATGTAGAGCTACCTTTTAGCCTAGTGCTGCCCAGGAAATTCCCCTTCTCTAGCTGGAATGCCAGAGTTTGGGATCTGCCTGAGAAATCCATCCCTACCCTGTCCCTACTCCTGCAACTAGGAGGAGGGTTCAAGCTTGACCTTATCCAGGTACTTTCCTCTCAGTCTATGAGTGTAAACACATAACTACTTCTGCCAGGGATCTCTCCAAAGTCACCACTTTGTGTTAGATGGGGAATGCGGTGTGAGAGAGGTACCCATACCGTGACCATGTTCTCAATCTCTCTCCAGAAGAAAGGTGGAAGGGAAAGGGAATGCCAGGGGTATGTTTACTCCTGTATACAAGCTGTTGCAAAAAGATGACTTCTCCCATGAGAGTTTGTCCTCTCAAGAATCTAACCAATCCTTCTTGGTATACCACCTATCATTGAAATTCATCATCTGAGAGGTCCCCAGTAGAGAATCCAAACTAATGAATTCATTTTGGGGTCAGCCCCAGTCATTGAAACTTAATTAGATGCCTTCAGTCTTGTCAACCAAGTGCCAATGTTCTCTAGCTGGAGACTTGATCACAATTTCTGAATAAAGCTTTACCAACTATCATGTAAGCTGGTCAAGAGGTTCTAGAAGATCAAGAACTCTCTTGATCAACTCCCTGCTCTGCCTTTCCCTGAGGATATCTGCTCTCATATGTCAATACAATTGAAGTTATGTGTCCCTCCTTAATTATAATAGTTGGCATTCTGTAAATAAGGAAACTGAGTCTCAGAAGTCCTAGTTAGTATGAATAATGAATCCCTTGAATAGCTGCATGTATTTGAATTGCACTGTTTGAAGTTATAGTTACATAAAATATTTTAATTGGTTCTAGACCAATGGGAATGTGCAGTGCAAATCTGGATAATGTGACACTTCAGATCATTCATTATTTGTATTGATGGGAACTCACCTTTGGTTACCTTTTCCAGTACACCATACTTTTTCTGCTTAGAACTCAAGGCCACTGGCTGCTTAAGTATCTCAACAATAATAACAATGGAAATAATAAAAATAATAATTACTGATATTTAAGGAGGATTTAAGGTTTGCATTATCTCATTTGATCCTCACAGTAACAATGTGAGTGGTGCTGACTGAGTAGGTATTCATTAAGCACCTACTATGTGCCAAACACTCTGGGGATATAAAGATAAGCAAGCAAGACAGTCTTTGCCCACCAAAAACTTACCTTCAAACTGAAGAAGGGCATGTATTATTGAGTCCCATTTTTACTTGAGGCTCAGAAATGTTAAATGACTCACCAGGTTCACAAAATTAATGCATAGCAGAGCAAAATCTTGGTGCTTGGGATGGAGTGGCGATCCTGCATCTGGTCCATGGTTCCAAATAGCAGGGTTGTCAAGGCTGATAGGAAAGCTGTGGGCATGTAAAGACCTACCCTAGGAAAAACCATCAAGTAGGTGATGTTTGTCTCTGATCCTCTTCTCTTCCTGTCTTCCCCTCTTCCTCTCAATCAACAGCACCTCTTTCTCAGTGCCTCCATGCTTTTTTTTTCTTGCTTCCCTGAGCCCATTCCATATTCTTGACTTGTTTTCCCCTGTACTTCTTCCACATCAAGAATATGTTTAATGTATCATCTGTTTCTCAGGCAATATTCACATGGAAAGAGCATTGAAGTTTAGAAGATCTGATTTCAAATCTTAACTCTTACACTCACTGACTGTGTGACCTTGGGCAAATGATTTCCCCTACGTGAGTATCTGTTTCCTCCTCTGTAAAATAAGGTTGGATTAGATGAACTCCAAGGTCCCTTTCAGTTCTTATAATCCATGAATCCAATTTTTAACAAAAGTCACCAATTCTTTTACCCACCACAGCAAATAATCGGGAAGTTCCAGGTGGAGAAATAAATGGTGTTAATCAGGGCAGCCTTTGGCATCTCTTAATGCATCCCTCGTTGGTGAGACTGCTGAAATTTAAGGGTCCTAACAGAGAATTGTATTGGCTGCTTATTCTAGACTCTTCTTTGGGCTGGTAGAGCTGTAGAGCATCCCAAGGAAACAGTGCCAGGGAAGTATTTATAAGCCTCTGGGAGACAGGGGCAAGAGCAGGTTTCTCATTAGGAAGCACAAGAGCTAGAATTTCTTTTTGGCCCCACCCTTACTCAGAGGAGCATCCAATGTGAGCTGTTACAAGGAGAATTATGATAGACTTGGACTTGCCAACCTCTCCCTCCCTCTTTAGGATGATCCTGGGTGTGCTTCTGTCCTAAAATAAGGTGGAAAAAACATAGGTCTTAAAATCCTAAAATGATAGGATTCAGCTTTGATCCTTACTAGCTGTGTGACCCTGGATAAGTCACTAATCTTCTCCAGCCTCAGTTTTCTCATCTTTAAAATGAAAACAATCTACCTATTCCCCACAATGTTGTTACAGAAGAAATTGCTTTGCAAGCCTTAAAATGCTATAGGAATGTGTGTTGTTATGTTTTCCACGGAATGCAAATTTGGCTATGTATCCTGGGCACACCTTAGGGCTTAGGAGAGCTGAAGGGACATCCCCAAACCAGGCTTATGCTGAAAGGGAAATCTCCTTGAGCCATAGTCATAAGGAAGCCTGACACTTGTGACTACATGCCTGAAAGCGGCCACTAATTTCCCTCTAGGATAAAACAGAAAGGCAAAGAGAGCACCCTTTACCTTCAGTGCCAGCTCTGAACTATCTCCAACGGAATCACGGTACCTAATCCCTTAAAGGTACGAGGTGGAGGAAACTCAGTTTCCAAAAATTAGATCTTTTGCCCACAGATTTCGGCTACTGCCGGTTGCTCCAATCAGCCTGTGCAAATCTCTAGGATAGACCAGCTAAAGCACAGGGTGTAGTTCTTGACTTTGTGCATTGGAACCATGAATCCAGTGGAGGTAAGACCGAGTGCTTTGAAGGAAGCCAGTAGGGCAGGCCGATGCATGAGCCTACAGCGCCACCTAGCACAACGAGGTGGGATTTCCTTCCATCATTTTGGATCTTATTTTAACCGAGAAGGGAGTTTCCATTTCATTCACAAAGTTCTGGGAAAGGGAATCTGGCTCAAAACCTTTGTTGTTCATGACTGGAAACAGTTATTCAAGTCGAGGGGAGTTTCAATCCCACTTCTAATGGAAGAATTTGGTCTCGGGTCAGCTCTATCAGAAGCTTTGGGAGTAAGAGGTTAGCTCTCCAAGCTCGAAGTTTTGCCTTCAGTCTTTCTAGTAACATCTGTGGCTTATTCAGTTTGCAGACTCATGTGGGAAGAGCTTACTTCTGACTCAGGACTTAGATGTTAAAATACTCAAAATGGTGAATGGCATCCTCTCCTTACCCTGTAACACTCCATCCTCCTTCCGACTCCCTCCTGCTTTGTCTCTCCCTTTTCTTTCTTCTTCATTTACATTGGCTGCTTATTCTCCTTGCAGCCCTGAGATGCCACTGGAAGTCTTCGAGTTAAATAAAAAAGGGATCAGAAGCTCCCCAGTGGACAGGATCATGCAGATGATACGAAGTCAAAGTCAAGTATTAGAGGCTGCTTCATTGTCCAGAAGATAAGAGTAAGGAAGATCTGAGTTTGAATCCTGCCTCAGATACTTATGACCTTTTACTACCTGGGAAAGTCACTTAACCCGTCTCAGCCTCATTGTCCTCATCTTTAAAACAGGGGAGACAGGAATAATCCCTTCCTCACCAGATCTGTCCTGAGGAGCAAATGAGGTCAACCCATACAAAGTGATCTGTAAACCTCTAAGTGTTTACAGAATCTGCAAGGTCAGACCAGGTCATTAAAGTGCGTGTCGGTGCTTTAATGAATCCCATTAGAGCCATTTTTATGCCTGAGCAAGTAGCACAAAATGGCTTACAGCGAATGGCACTGAGTGTGCCCTCAGCTGCTTTGATGAAGGCTTCAATGGGGTAAGGGGTTGGGGGTGGGGAATGTCAGGCTGAGGAAGAGTCAGCTGGTATGTGGCCATTGGCTGCTCTGCCTTGAAGGAGGCAGCCAGTGGAGGAGGCACTTTCTACTTGATGGCTTCATTTTAAGTAATTATTTTTGGTAAACAGATGCTAAACTCAGCAGTTTCAACCTGCTAAGAGCTGAGTGCTCACAAAATCTCAGTGGCCTGAGGCAAAGCCCTGACTGTCCTACCTTACCTACAGCTCCTCCCTATGTAGCCTGGAAACGAGGATGGGACTTCCCTAGGCATAGATTTAACAGGATCACAAGGAGCTGAAGGCAGAAGTCAGCCTCTGGGTGTATTCAAAGAGCCTATGCTTCCAACATATCATGGTCATTCTCCACTTCATAGCTACAGGGTCCCCTTTTACAAGTAATTTGGTCAGTCTTAGCAGTGGCCCAGAGTTTCCTATCAGAGGAAAGAAAGTCTATTTTCAGACAATAGGAAGAAAAGATAGCCTTCACCTTGGGGGTGGGAGGCTGGGATGGGGTGGGGCATCTATTTCCACAAGAATTTTATAACCTTCTTCCAGAAAAGAGGCAATTGAAGATGAAAACAAGGTTCCATTCCTCCAACTCCCTTAATTGTCTCATTAAACACAAGAAAGCCTTTTTGAAAAGTATATAAATGTGTACCCACATTAGAATTTGCTCATCTTAATAGCTTAATACACCCCAAATATGAAACATTAATCAAAAAAGTCCTGAGTAAATGTTGACTCATTTATTGTATGTTTTAAAGTCTGGAGATTAGTTTAGGACCATTAAGAGTTAAGTCAGATATTTAGGCCAGAAAAAATGGCATCTCTATTCCTTTATTTTGCCATGAAATCTCTCAGGAACCCTCTGGGAAGTGAAGAAAGCTGGTAAAATATCCCTGACACGTGTCAGAGTAAACTTAGCCTATAAAAAGAAGGGGAGCTGGAAAGCATCTTTGGTACTCCTCCTCTCCTATCCCCTCCCCTCCCCTCCCCTCTTCTCTCCTCATGCCAACCACCATAAATTAATCTGATGCAGATTTCCCATCTCAAGTCACCCCCAACCCTCTCCCTGACTTGATCAGCTCTAAAATAAATCTTTCACCACATTGAATTTGGAAACCTAAATTTTGTGGGTGGGCTCTCCTTTTCCTTTCCAATCTTAGACATCAAACTGATTTGCCAAAAAAAAAAATCATTCATTTGAAGAAGCATTTGCTGCTAAATGTAGGAAGCAAAATGAGTGGGAAAACATCAATTTTCCTTTTCATTTTACAGAGAATCTTAGGGACCTAAGCTAGCTCTATTATACTACATAGGGAAAGAGAATACTCTATAGGTTGCTAACCAGGTTAGAAAAAAATAGCACCTGTTGGTCTCCCTCTCTGAGCTCTGCTTCTGAAAAAAGAAAAAAATTAAATGGGAAAGGAAGCAAGCATTTATTAAATATTTTTATTAAATGTTTTTACAAACATTATCTTAATTGATCCTCACAACAGGCCTGAGTCACAGGGCTATTATAATTCTCATTTTACAGTTGAAGAAATTGAGGCAGGCAGAGGTTAAGTGACTTGCCAAGAGTCACACAGCTAGTAAATGTCTGAGGTCAGATCTGAACTCAAGTCTCCATGACTCCAGGCCCAACTCTGTCTGTCCACTGTGCCACCTATGCACATATTTCGGGTTTTGTTTTCCTCCTACCCCAAGTTCTAGATTACCTTTGATGATCTACCACTAACTCATCTGCGGCGATCCCAAGGTTTATCATCATGAAAAGGCATTTCAAGCATCATCATGTACCCCTCCTGCATCCTACTCACATCCTACCTTTCCCCCTCCTTGACAGTCCTAATTTTCAAAGTGTATCAAAAGATAAAATGTTCAAATTTATTTAGCTCTTCTCCCACTAAAGTCCTGCTGTGATGCCTCATCACAATACAGTGATCTCAATACTGGGATCTCAACTGCCATACGAAGAAAACACATGCCTAACAGGTCCTTCCTATTAGAAACAGCTCTGTGGTACAGTGGATAGAGTGCTGGGCCTGGAATCAGGAAGAACTGAGTTCAAATTCAGCTGATACTTACTAGCTCTGTAACTCTAGGCAAGTTACTTAACCTCTGTTTGCCTCAGTTTCCTCATTTATAAAATGAGGGTAATAATAACACCTACCTCCCAGAGTTGTTGTAAGGATCAAATGAAATTTGCAATTTGTAAAGTGCTTAGCATAGTGCCTGGCACACAGGAGGTGCTTAATAAATGCATTTCCTCCCTTCCAAGTTGAAGCCTATGGCAATAAATAAGCACGTGCTGTTCTAAGACTAGCCTCGCTAAATTTAGAGAGTGTTAGAAACTCTGAGTTCCAATCCTGTCTCTGACACTCATTACTTGTGTGACGTTGGACAAGTCACTTCATTTCCCTGGTCCTCAGTCTCCTCCTATGTAAAGGGAGTGAATTAGATTTGAAAGACTTGGATATGCCTTCTAGTTTGACCTCTATAATCCCTGGATTACTAACACGTTGACCACGAGGCACTACATTCCTTCATCCCAGAAATTCACAAAGAACAACTCTTCAGGTTTGAAAAAGGTTGTGATCTGCTAGAAAAAAAAGGCAAAGCCCAAGTACTTGAATATTGAAGCAAATATTAAATTATTATTAACCACAATTAAAGCACTTCGTGTGTATTGCTCTGTGAACACACCTCAGCAACCTTTGTCTCTATTGGCCCTCACCTCAACTTTTGCTACTCTATCTACATTGTGTGTGGGT